AGGCCTAATGCCGACGCGAAATGTTTACAAACATTAAACAATGTAAACATAGCTAGGCTATTTTAGTTCCCCTCACTCCACAACAAATCCTTTCAATTAACAGTATTTAGAAAAGAACAAGAATAAAAAATATAAGAAGTTATAGCAATATAAACGACAAGCCAAAACGAATTAATTAGGCTAAAACGAAACTGAAACCAACGTTGGGTCTCTCATTCGACACAAAATCAAATGTTTTCGTATTCGCGATGCATTTGAATGCCAAATTATTATTTATTATGTAGCCTATCACTCGCTTTCCAATATCCACGTAAAACAAAATGTTTTGCATAACATCACGGCGGTATGGCGTTAACGGCACAGATTTTTCTACATATTTAAACTGAGCAGTGTGTTTTTTTCCATATGTTTGACTGACTGTATTTTATTATGATAATGAACAGGCTGCATTGTCAAGGTAGCAAAGCTTAAATCACTTGAATTTTTTCCTTCTAACAGTGGAAGCAACTACTCCTTTTAGTCATAAACAGTGGAAGCAACCACTCCTTTTAGTCATAAATATAATCGGAATTGTAAATCGTAATTGTTTGCCTTTATTTGTGTACATTCACAATAAAAACAAATCTTTGTTTGTAAAATAAGCCTAAAGAAAAATAGGATGCCGCTTTCTGCCATCTGGTTTCCTTTCACGCAGCACAAAAATGAACTGAAACTCTGGATATTGGATATATATATATATAGTCTATATTATGTTTTTCTCCGCTCGCAGAAGCGCTGCAGGTGCGTGATGTGATATGAGACCATGTGAATCCTCATGTTCTGTTGTTTGCTTTTTCAGCAATAGTGTGCACCTTTAATTTACAGAGAAAAGGAAAAAATCTGTAGATGGAAAACTCTCCATACAAGTTTTTTGTGCATTTTTCTCTTTTTCTTCTTGTTACTTTGCACTTTTTGTTAGAAAATGTGTTTATTTACTATTTATTCAGGTTTTTTAAGGTATCTAATATTTTGATGCTTAATTTCCATGATCTAAATATTCTTAAAAATTAAAAGTTTGTTGTCATTTGGAAGTGTGTAGGCCTTGCAATATTATGCTGTTACATTATGATTATATATTCAGTGGCATAAAATGGTCTTTAAAATGACAATAATATCGCTTATCGCAATTATTTCTGGGGCAATATATCGCACAACAAAAAGTTGTTATCGTGACAGGCCTACCGGGAAACAAATGTTAGTATTTTTAACAGGTCACAGACACTTATCCTTTCTAATTTAATTCAATTCTAATTTAAAATAATCTTGTTGATTAACGGTTAATAATCGGTTAACGAGCGTCGGTTGTCGGTTAGGAAAAATAATCGAAATGAACATCCCTATTTTGATCAAATGAATTAGTGAAACTGAGTTATCATAATATCACCACCACAATGAGAAATCACATGAAATCCAAACAGCAGTCCACTGAGGAAAGACAGCTGTCCATCACTGCATTCACGACTGCAGGTAAGCGCAGATGTACCCCGAGTGAGCCGAGAAGAGGGCTTATCTGACTGCAAAATGATCTTGAGACATATGCTTCCTTTAGGCTTCCTCGAGGGAGAGTGGTTTAAGAACAGAAAACACAAAGCGCTGTAAGAAACTGCTTAGCACACCGTTGTCTTTG